CGCGTCCAAAGAAGTTTTCACTTAAAAAACTTGGGAAGATTCAATTAATTATTGCGTGTAACAGTGTTGTTAATCAGGAATTTAAGGAAAAAGTTGGGGAATTTTGGAAAAGTCGGTGAAATAATTACCAAAATTGGTAGACATCGTTGTTATAAGCTGTTTCCACATAAAAAAAATCTTATAAAGAGTTCTATCTATTAAAATATATTAATTATTACACAGATGCCAGTCTGCAGTTGATGTACCCAGATAGGAGAATCAACACTGAAGAAGATGATCCTACAATAGATAATGATAATGATGAAGTTTTTTGTAAGTAATTAACAATTAATATTTAAAATATTTATTTACATTTCCAAAGATCATTAATGTCCCTTAATACAAATCTTGTTTCTTAAAATCAAGTACTAAGTTTTGCTTAATCAAATTAAAATTTAATTTTGCTAATTACATGATTGCAGCTGTTGATGGATCAGAAGACGATTTCAAGGATGTTGATGAAAATGGTAAGTACGTTTATATTTCAGAAATAGTAACACAATTTAATAATCATTCAATTATTCATTAGTTGTCCATTATGTAATAATTCAAGAATCAGTGGCAAAATCAAATTTTCTGACTACTCCAACACTTACTAGACAAACGCTCTAAGCTTTCAATCAATAACAAACGACTCATATATATGACAACAATAAGACCTATTTGGACTTACGGAATTGAGTTTTGGGGCTCCACTAAACCATCGAATTCCTCTCTTATCCAATCCAAAATCCTTCGTAAAATCATCAACGCTCCTTACTTTGTCACAAATAAAACCATCCGTAAAGTTCTTAATGTTCCATATGTTTCCGATTTGGCCCAATCCAGATACCTATCCTTCCATAACAAACTGCAGAACCATCCGAATCCTCTCGTTTCAAACCTTGCTTCCTCCTCGATCTCTGATAACCCTCCGAGGCGTCTGAAAAGAAGATGGCCCCGTGATCTCCTAATGTAGTCATATCATTAGAGTGCTACCATTGGGTAGTTACTCAGCAAGTGTATCCATGTCATTATATCTATTATGTCCAAATTTACTAGATGTATTTATGTAATACAGTTGTCAATGTCATTAAGAAATGAAAAAATAAAAATAAAAAAAATATTTTCTGTATATATGGTATGAATGTGTTCATATATCACTATAATTATTGTCCACGAGACAGATTATTATAGGTCTTAATAAATAAATAAATTTCAAATAGTTACTATATGCCAGTTAGCCAATAGGAAACTTATGGTAAGTATCGTATTTAAAAAACAATGAAATTAGACCGAAGTTTTTGTTGATATTGTGATGAGATATTTCAAAGGTATTTAAATTTCCCAAAAAATGAAGGAAGTTTCATCGAAATCAAAGCACTATTAGTAGAGATATCGCGGTTTTTGCATATTTTTGGTTTATTATTTTCAATAATCAATCATTGTGATCGACCAAATATTCAAAAACTTAACCCCCTCTCAAAATTTGATGTTTTACCAAATATTCAAAAACTTAACCCCCTATCAAAATTTGAGGTTTCACATTTTAGGACGCGTAGAATTCGTAAAACGAATAAAAAATTTTTTGTCCGTTTGCTGTACGCCGTTCGCCGTCCACTCATTTTCTCCGAAACTACTGGACCGATTTTTTTCGAATTTTGATATAAAATCAGACGTCACCCGAGGATGATTCTCCTTCATCGATATTACTCTCAGCCTTTAACTTTCAAAATGGCGGCCGAAAAACCTGCGTTGCTAAATACGGTAGCTCCTAAACGAATGTACAGATTTCAATGAAACTTCGCTAAAGTCATTTTTTCGACGCCCTTTAAATTTATTTATATAACATACTTCAACGAAAAGAAGCTGTAAAAAAAGTTACGAGGGATGGTAAAATTAAATTCCCAATAACTCAAAAAGTTTTTACTTTTTTGTTGATATTGTGATGAGATGTTTCAAAAGTATTTAAATTTCCTAAAAAATGAAGGAAGTTTCATAGAAATCAAAGCACTATTAGTAGAGATATCACGATTTTTACATATTTTTGGTTTATTATTCTCAATAATCAACCATTGTGATCGACCAAATATTCAAAAACTTAATCCCCTCTCAAAATTTGAGGTTTCACATTTCAGGACGTGTAGAATTCGAAAAAAGTCGTCCGCATACCTATATGTAGTTATGAGGGATGGTAAAATTAAATTCCGATTAACTCGAAAAGTTTTTACTTTTTTGTTGATATTGATTGTATATAGTTTTTTAAATGTTTACGAAATTTCCTTAAAAAATCATTAAAATCGGACAATTACTAGCAAGGATATGGACTCCGGTTTTTTTTATATGTTCTACTCCAAATGTTATATCCTCGGTTTGGTTTCTAAATTTTGAATGTGTTACTGAACTAATGCTATTTTTTTTTTTTTTTTTAGCATATTACTAATGATTAAAGAAAAACAGTTTAGTCCAGTAATTGGAATCACCTTTTGTTTTTTTTTTCTTTGTAACTAGGAAGGTAATGTTACTTTAGGTGTATAATTGTTTGGAAATAATAAACCATTGTGGAATAATTTGCAGCGTTTTTTTTATAACACAGTTGTAAGTATCAATGAAGAAAAAAAAAATCAAGTTATTGTATTCTAGCCTTCGACTAAAATAATGCTCAGTTTAGAGTAAAAATTGATATCTCTGACAATCAGGCCTTGGAAATGTTACAAACAATTCTAAATTCGAATTATTTTAATTTTTTTTTTCATTTGTGACCCATTTGAAACTAAGTTTGATATCATCTCTATCTGCTTGTGGAGTGCCAGAAGTTCTGCGGACAATCCAAAATTCAAGTTAAAAAACTGAAATATTAATTCATTCAAACATTGAGTTATTTTACTCCTGTTTATTTATTACCCATTTCAAACTGTGTTGTTGCCAACACATAATATAGTCCATCCTCAATCATTCATGATTTCTTCAATCCTACCTTGCCAATAAAAATAAAAAATATGCTGTCACAGAAATGTGAAGTTTATGATTATCACTGGAATCTCCGTTGTTTATTATCAAATCATTTTCACTACTACAGTTACTTATATTTAAAATACTGACTACCACCAGAGATTCAATTGTAAGTAAATCATTTATTAAATAATCAAAATGAAATTTTCATAACATTAATTATTATTGCTTTTTCACAGGTAAACAAAGATATTTTAACATACACTCATAACAACTTTAATTGACTTAGGATTTATGATATACATATTTACAACCTCATACTTCTTAAATATTAATTCTTTTATCTAAACCATAGGTAGAATCGCGGCCTCGGGGGCTGTATGTGGCATCTGTGACGTAATTGCGGCTTCCAAACGTTTTTGCGCTATAATTATTTATCTAGAGCTAGAATTAATTGATGATTAGTGATAAATAAAAATAGTAAAATATGAAGAATTATTTTGGCCTCCATTAGCAGTGCCTAACATTAGCTGCCCCTAAAGCCTTGTCAACACTAGTAGAAACGTTGCGCGATTTTGGTCTCTGAGACATGTATCAGTTTGTCTACGTAGACATGTCTATAGACCAATTCCCGTCTACAGGCCTATAGCCAAAAATAGTCCTAAACATTTAGAGGAAAATATCGTAACGAATGATACCCGCTTTTCTTACGACATTGTTCATATAATATGGCGGAAAAGAGTTTAAAAATATCAGTTTATGGTATCAGTTATTAGCTCATAGGGACACCTTGAGGTATAAAAGAGCTGGTTGGAGACTATATATATATTTCTTTCTGCAAACCATACTATGTCACAAAAAATATGCGTAACGAATGTTACCATTACTTTACTTAACATTGTTCAATTAACATTATGGTTGATAATTGAAAATTAAGTAGTTTCAGGACATTTATTTAGGATTAATGTTTAATATGATTTTTAATTTGTGTTTAAGAGTGTTGTGATATCTGGTATGTAGTATACAAAGGAATTTGTTTTTCCATAAGGATCGTATTGTTTGTTATTTTGTGATAGACTCCATTTGTATAGGTTTCTTACCTTAAAACAAATAAAGATTGATTGATTGATATGTATACGGCAAATAAGATATTATAATTTATGTGTTTTATCTTAATAAATTTGAAATTTGGTTCATTATATTGAAATACTAGTTTCTCTAAAACTGATAGATTGATTTTTTTAAATAAAAATGTTAATATACTTACTATTACTAAAATGTTTAATAATACTTGTACATGAAACAAGATTCAGAACTTCAACATAAAATTCAGTATGAAATTATTTTATCTTAGCTTATTTTTTAAACGCTTTTGTTGACTCATACCGGTTAATTCTCCTCCATGAATTGTTATTTATTTTCCTTATATTTATTCATTCTTATAATTGATATTTTTTTTATTGTAGATTCTACCGATTTTTTATCTCTTCTTTTGTATTTTATTTGATATATAACTTATTACATATATGATTAATGATTTAAGTTTACCTCCGAGTAACACAAAATGAGAAACGTCAACAAATCTTAATTGCATAGGGCCTCAAGTCAACGGTGGCAACTATTGTTTGTTAATTATTGATATAGACATCTCAATGAAGGTTTTCGAACAATTTTCAAAGAATAGATGGAATCTAAAAATTTTCAGTGGAGGGAATGCAAAAAATTATCTAAAATGTAAAACTGTCTCCGATGAGCACAATAAATGTATTTTTATCCTCTAAAAGTGGAAAAGCATAGTGGTCATTGACAAACATTTTATAATAATTCTGCGAAAACTGAAATTATTTGTACGCAAATTCAGTCTATATTGTACTTATTTTTCAATACTTTAATTAAATTCAATAACAATAAAATATGGCCGTGGATAGCTTAGACCTGATTGGGTATTGGTAGTTTTAGTCCAGAGAAGAACATAAAAAGTGTTATATCCATTTGATACCACTGTGTGCAGTCCGTTATAGTGAAAAATTTCAATCAAAATCTCCTGAGTTTTTTTCAAGTTCAGCCAGTGATATAACAAAACCTAGATAAAAGGTATACTGCCTCCTTTGTCTTTTAAGCATTTTATCACAATTACTTTTCTATTTTATTGACATTCTCTATTGCCATTATTTTTTTGGGGCGTGGTTATAACAAAAAACATTCATTTTAAGAAACATAAAAATATTTTGCCAGTATCATCTATCATGTCCTAATACACATTTTGATACTAAAATAACTGTCTGAAATATTGCTGAACTAAAAAAATATATATTTATTTTAGAAATTGATACATATTCTAAATTTATAAATATTTTAAATCCTTGGTGAAAATAATATTTTGTTGTACATTTTCAGAAAAATATTGGTCTTGTGATGAAGAAGAACTTGATGTTTATTGTAAGTACTTATTATTTATATGTCTTATTATTAGTAGTATTATGTCTATAAAAAGTATTATTCATAATTAAATTGCTTATGCTACCATAAATTACTATAACTAATTTTTCTTTGTATAATTTCAGCTACATTTGAAGATTCTGATGATGAAATTGAATATGGAACCGCTAATGTAATTCATGAAGGTGGGTATTCTATAATTTTGTTGCTAGTTGCCCGTGCGAATTATTCGCACAGTGTATTGATAACTGATAAAATGACAAAGTAATATGAAAATAAAATAATGCAATGTAACTCATCGCTAATGCCCTGTGAAACTCTGAAACCAACGGGTATTTGAGCATTACAGGGGCTTATATTTGGTACAAAACCGATTTCGAGCCTTACTGTAATTAAAGATGGACAGTGCTCGATTACTTTCATGATTTGAATACTTTTATTAGAAAAAAGTTGCTAGTACTTTCTGTATCCACTTTATAGAGGCTGAATGTGCCCCAGGAGGGTCTACCGACCCAGGGTCCCCCAAGGCTAATGAAACAGATAAATAAATTGTCTGCATAAGTTAGTTAAGTACAGAAAATAATAGCGGTGTCAGGTGCCCTTCCCCTCAAGTACTACCACCCCCCTCCTTTCTCCTACTCCCAGGATATTTTATCATAGCTTCTTAAAAACAGAGCAAACAAAGGTAGAATTACAGAAACGACTGCCAAATAAGGTCAGTATAGCTTCCTCGCCGTTTTCATTGGCTAAAAAATATCTGTATTACAAGGTCTAAAATTGTTTGTATGAGAATAAAATCTCTGGGAGAAGCTGTTCGGAAATTCAGTAATCCCTCAACATATACGGGTTTCATGTCCAACAGTTTTGCTTATGAGCGAATACTAATATGCGAAAGAGCTGATTTCATATTTTATTGTCCATAGTAGCAGACTACTTTTATAGGTTGCAGATTGCATCCATCAGTTGCAGTCTACAACATGTGAAAAATAGAATAAAATTGTTGATTTTTACATACGAACTCTTGCATTATCAATAGTGAAATATACTTAATACGTATGTTTTTACTCGTAAAATGGATGGAACAAAAACTTCATAGGAAAAATTTAGCTTTTTGTTGAAATAAACACAATTACAAATAAGACATTTATTTTTTTAAGAATTTAGAGGAAAAATTAATTTAAATTTACTTAAAATTACACGAATCATAATAAACGCAGTAAGTGTCATACCAATAAAGTTTGGAATCGACCAAACAATCCAGTATAAATTAAAGTTTTGAATAAAACCTAAAATTTTATAACACTACAAAAATATTGTATTAAGCTAACCCCCACTCCATTTGATCAATGCCTTCCACATTTCACTGTCATTATATTATTAACAGTTATTTATATTAATTTTAATTATTAATTGCCTTGGAAAATATCTATTGTCAAAATGATTCACAAATCCAAAAAGCCACCAAAATACCCATCCTCTAACCGTTCTATCTCTCTTTTACTTATCATGGGCAAAATCCTGGAAAAGCTCATCTTAAAACGCCTGTACCCCATCATAAATTCTAATCCCAGATCTCCAATTTGGATTCCGCTCCTCCAATTCCACTATACAGCAATGTTATCGTGTGGTAGACGTGGTGTTCTCTACATTGGAGCGCGAAATGTACTGTATTGGAGTCTTTCTCGACGTTGAAGAGGCGTTTGATTGAGTTTGGCATCCGGGACTGCTGCACAAACTCCATGAATTTCTACCATCTACATACTTCCTCATTATCCGTTGCTAGCTTACTGATAGATACTTCAAAATAAGTCGCAGCAATGTCTGTACATTTCTCTTTTTCCCGTCTGCAGGTGTTCCTTAAGGAAGTATCCTAGGTCTTATCTTTTACACAGTCTATACAACTGATATCCCAACCCATCGTTACACTGTCATCACCACGTAAGCCGATGACACATGTATCCTATCAGTTAATAACAACCCATCAATTGCATCCCAAGCGAGGCCAACTGGCAGAAGACCACGAGGTAGGCCTAGAAGAACATATCTGGAACATACCCAGCGACTAGGTGATGATAGAGGAAAAATCCTAGGTCAGATGAAGGAATGGGCAAGAGACAGAGATGTATGGTCGGAGTGGCTGGAGACTCCTCCACGCTTAAAGGCACAAAGGAGGAAGAAGAAGAAGAACTTTTTTCTATTAATACCTACGTTTTTCACTCTTTCAGCCTAATCGAACGATCCGCATCTGAAATATTGGTATATCCAAAAAGATACGTTAGTACCGCCGTAAACGGAAGAGCTAAATGGAATTTAATAAAATTGATATGAAACCATCTCGGTACCAACCCTCACAACCCCAGACAATTTCATGAAAATTTGGGAAACGGTAGTGATATGCCCGTTACATCGTATTGACTACAGACAGGCAGACACTGAACTAAATTAGATCCTTGATGTCTGAAACGTAACAAGCGAGTGGAAATTTTCGATTCTGAGCACAAAAGTTTTTTTAACCTCTCGCAAGAATACAATGCTTCGGTAGTGTGGAAGAAAAATCTTAGATCATATTACACTTACTGCGGTCTGTTCCGTGTTTCCTCCTTATCTCTTAGTTCTTTTCTGAATTGAATATTCGGAGTTTTGTTTCTTCACATTAATTTCTTACTTATCTCTGTACATATTTTTACATTAAGTCTGGTTTTCTATTTATTTTCTCCCTTATATTAATATTGTTTATCTATTCATCTAGTTTGAAAAATCTCCTATTTTTCTTAGTTGCAATTTTCATTTATTTTGTTAAAACATATAATTTTCCGTCTAGTTCTTTACTGCTCTGCCGTCTTTCATTTATCTTAATAAATTTAAATTCTCATAATTGCGATTGTTCCGTTCGTTTCCAAGCTTTCAGTGATGAACTTTTAACACAGCTGAATAACATAGCCCGACCTGCTTAAGAATCGAAAAAACAGTAGAAAATTGAGTAAATGAAAATAAAATACGGCACACTGTCATTCCTCTTTAAGAAGTAATGCCTAGCGATGGTTCCGTGGAGGGAAATGAACAGGTGAAGAGAGGTTGTTTGTAGTGGATAAGAATCCGACACGCCAAAAAGTACGGGTCTATTCCTGTCTTTTGAAGATTTCCACCTAACCACAAAAAAAAAAATTTAATTAAAAAGATTTCTAATCGATGATTTTTACTTTCACTTACGTCTTATTCTTCTAGGCTCTAACGATTTTTTTTAAACACTGTGTATCATTGTGCAATTAAGTGGTCTTTAATATCATTTAGCTCTTATCCCCGTTGATGTCACTTTACAGGATTCAAATGTCCAATGTTCATATGAGTCTTCCTCTAAAGTACCTATAATATGGTTTATTTCAAAAAGTTGATCATTTCACATTATTCAGAGTTACGAAAAAAAAAGCTAAATATAACTTTTGAAAGAATTTGATAAGTTAATAAAGGAAAAATAAAATAAAAATGTACAGGTCGAAAATGAATCTCCGGAAATACAAGTCAGAAGTTATAATATATCACTGGAAAGCGAAGAATTTTAGAAAAAACAAAACAATATCTAATAAAGAAGGTAACGGAGAGCGGCAAAAAAATTATAAATAATAATTTTTGAAAACTGATAATATTTAAACCGCATGTTTTCAAGGAAATTAAATGAAATTTACTAACTAAATGTAAACTTTAAAAAATATTTTTGCGTTTGTAGAAAGTATTTAAAATCCTCCCAATAACGACAATAGCATTGTTGAAAAACTAATCATTGAAATAAGAACTAAAATATAAAATCATTTTCATCACATATTCTCATACCTATAATAGTTTGAAAATTAAAGATATTTAAACAGTAGAGAAAAAAATATAATGCAAAGTTTACATACTTAAATTAAAAAATAATTCTTAAAATATATAAATTAATTTGTTTAATCACAAATTATATTTTATGGACACATTGAAAAAAAAACTTTTATTTATATTTTGTATCAACAACTAAAAATATTTATTATTAATATGTAATAATATTTATTTGTTAAAAGAAACTTCACTATTTCTACTTTCTTCACAAAGTAAAATTCAATAATTTTCATATTTTTTTCTAATATATTTCTGATGAATGCTATTTTTCAATAATTATCGTTATTTTAATTAAAAACAGAAGTTTTAAATTATATTAAAAAATAGTTATTGAATATTTATGATATCTTAGTTATGGATCATTTTATACATTATTAAAAATAATGTTATTTTTTAATTAAGGTTTTAGCTTCAGTAAAATAATTATTACAAACTACACAGCAAATAATTTAGTAATTGATAAAGGCCTAAATTATTTAGATTAATAGTCAACACTTAAGCTTTCTAAACTTACATAAATATTTTTGTAATATTTATTTATTCATGTAAATCAAAATATTAAGAAAAATATATACATAACATTTAAAATAAAATCATTAATGCTTGTTTTATGGAAAACATAATAATAAATTTACTTTAAATTTTTTTTTTAATTACCAAATGCTGACTTTCCAACCAATTTTCTATGTAGTATGAGGAGGCATTATTGTTTCACTGACATCAGATGCATATAGAGAATACCTTCTTGATGTTTTTTTCGAAACTCTCTGAAGAGTTGTTCTGTCAATTGACAAAATTATGCTTTCTGGAATACTCATCCTAAAAAAGAAATTTATAAAAGTGGAAACTAGTTATTATATAAATAATTAAACAAGGTTTCACGACAAATATATCAATACTCTTTTCACCTAAGGGATCCAATCCACTCAATATAGAACACATAGTGAAATGGTGTCATTGCTTTATAAAATTAGAATGCATAGCTTTTGTAAATAAAATAAATTTGAAAAAATACTTGTATGAATAATTTCTTACTGTTTTCATAAGATAGTTTACAATTTTAGTTATTTTTTCTAAAACTGGTTTAACAAAAGTATTTCTGTATTTTTAAATTGTTTTATAAAAATATCACAAATTCTCGGAATATTTTCAAAGCTTTTTGTGATCAGTAAAAATCATAAACTACAGAATCTATAGATTCTCTTATACTAGTCTTTCAGATGACTAGTTCGTATCTACTCTGGTTACCAGTAAACACAGATGAATAGCTTCTAAAAAAGGAATCATTAGTTATCTATCACCTGATGTTAA